AGTAGAAAACGTCATGGCGACGCGTGCTAAATGCAAAATGCGCTTTGTAGGTTTTCAGCAACTGGCGCACCCCTGTAGAAAGCCACGTTTGTCGTTTTCGTCGTTTTCGCGCTCCATCTCCTGTGTACAAATTTGTTTTGTACCTGGTCGTCGTACATAGCATCAGCATCAGCATTGTTTTTGAATTTCCCGGTCTTTTCCAGCGCATGGCACACGCTTTGGTACGACAACGTCACGTGCTGGTCGCGTGAAAACGTTACCTATGCAGACTGAAAAGTGTAGTGTGGTTGCGTACCGACTTGTACTGAGATATGCAAGAAATTTTGTACTGTGATTTTTACGTAGTGTGGTTGCGGCCAGGGAGTCGTAAATACCGGTATTTTACGACTCCCTGGTTGTGGCCTAATCCGGTAACACAACATTGATAGTCAGGAGGCTTAGCAGCAGCTTTCAGCCTGGTCATGATCGAAAATCCCCTCAACATGCACGCTCTCTGGTCGACCTCATTCAGCACACCAACTACACGACTTATATGATTGATGTACCAAGTTTGATCAACCGAGCGATGATTATCAGGCAACCTCTGGCCGGCTGGGAGAAGAATCTCTTTATTGCCCTTTAGGAAAGGTTTAGTCAACACTTCAAACCGTTTCATCAAGTCGGCGTCTGGGTGTTGGCGTCTGTTTCATTCCTGCTCTGTGTTCATAACATCCTCTAACCCTCAGGTAACTGAACGTGATATTTATTTCGAAGCACTACACGAAAACACTCAACGGCCATGCCCTAGAGACATACATGTACATGTAGATGTGTAACTGACGCTAGAGGCTAGTAGAGCCATAGAGGCTAGTAGTAGAGCCATAACGGCTAGTAGAGCCATAGAGGCTAGTAGAGCCATAGAGGCTAGTAGAGCCATAGAGGCTAGTAGTAGAGCCATAACGGCTAGTAGAGCCATAGAGGCTAGTAGAGCCATAGAGGCTAGTAGAGCCATAACGGCTAGTAGAGCCATAGAGGCTAGTAGAGCCATAGAGGCTAGTAGAGCCATAGAGGCTAGTAGAGCCATAGAGGCTAGTAGAGCCATAACGGCTAGTAGAGCCATAGAGGCTAGTAGAGCCATAGAGGCTAGTAGAGCCATAGAGGCTAGTAGAGCCATAGAGGCTAGTAGAGCCATAGAGGCTAGTAGAGCCATAGAGGCTAGTAGAGCCATAGAGGCTAGTAGAGCCATAGAGGCTAGTAGAGCCATAGAGGCATAGTAGAGCCATGGAGGCATAGTAGAGCTAGAGGCTTTCACCCGCACATTGATAATAATAATTATCGCTAACCGCAGCTCAACCGACATCCTTCGCTGTTGTTTGGCGATATGTGGACTAGTGTGGCTCGCCCTGCGGTGCAAAGCAAACTACAAGGCGTATCAACAGACAACTTTGAAGTATTCTGTAAGGATGACTGGAAGCAATGGCGCTCCTGGCGTCTGCAACAGTCATTGTGCAGTTATGTACGTACATTAACATTATACTCCGGACTGTTGCGCTGGGTCCATTGGATAGGTCTACACACGGTGCGCGGAAAGTAACATAGCTACGCATGGATTGCAATATGACCATGGAATTACACTGTAGGATCATACGATCAGGCACTAATAACACATGGAGCTAGATCAATTGCACTATTGTATGTTCACATACATCATCATAACTTCAGCCATGCAATACCTCTACGGTCGAGACTAATTCCGACACGAGTGTTGGTGTGCAACTGTGTTCCAGGCCAGGGTTATCTCGTCTCGATGATGTATATGTACATGTTTGACAGCGACCGTTTTCCCCGTGCTGTTTGACTGGTGGAACTCAACCCACCTTTCTTGGCTCCCTTTTACTCACAGCATGTGATCTGGTATTATTTCTGCGATACCTGGACAAGAATTCTGAGTCCAATTGGGCGTACATTCTCCGATAATATGTTGGGCTATTTTTGAACTGGGGCTGGTATTCTTTGACGTCACAAGGACCATCTGATTATGGCCAAATAGATGCAGGTAAGGCCGACCCAAGGGCCAAGGGCTACTATGCAGAGAATCAACTTAGTCACCCATAAAAGTCAAACGCTCAACATGTGCCTTAGACCTGAGCAACCCGACAGACGGTGAATGGTATAAGCGGTTTTCGTGTAGATTCGCCGTCTAGTCCCTCCATGCACAGTTGCTGTGTGCTGGGTAGACAATGAGTGGGTGTTGGGTAGGTACCTTCAACAGCTGCGGTGAGGCAATTGGGAACAGTGTGCAAAATCTTCTAAAGCTAACGTCTCTCCAAAGTCTATTTCACGAAATGGGAAAGGATATCTGTCTGAAGCTTTCCCAAGATCGCTCATGTTTCAAGTGTGTTTGTGCAGCTTCTGGAATTCGGCAGGCAGGCATTTCTCTCATATCTCTCCACAAGCTTTGGAGAAGTGTTCTGACCACGAAGCTGAGTGATTGAGGACGACAGTACATTCTAGAATTGGCTCATTAGAAGTTTTCCATTTTCTCATCCTAGGAAACATTTTCTTCTCTTCGAAATTGGCACTAGATACTTACCAGCCTACGTCATTTGTAACAATTCAGCACATTCCCCTCTTGGAGCGAACTGGACACCTGCAACGGTCGGATAGTTTGCCATTTTCCCAACGTTCCAGTTTCCCAACGATGCTCCCAGCCTCTGACAAGCTATGGGTACCGGGTACCGGGTATGAGCCTGGCCGAGCACTGTACGTACATGCATGTGCTGCGGGTTACGTGGGCCAGGCTGTAGTCAATGGGAACCCGGACGGACTGTTGTGAACAGACTGCTTGTGCATAGAGCTGCATTTCCACACCCTTGCAGGGACGTCTATTTTGGCATGTGTGCGGCATACTTTTTTTGTAAACGAATACAAGTACCTCGCCCGTGGATGACATGGCAATTCAAGTGCAGTATGCCAGTGGTGGCGTAGTACTAGTAGTACATGTAGTACATGTAGGTAATTAGTTGCAAGAGACGTTTCCCCAGTTGGGTACTGTTCTCGTTGTGTAACTACTGCACAGCTGTAGTTAGTGCTATAGTGTAGGTGAATATCAAGTGAAGACAGACACTCCGGACAGGAAAAAAGGGAGGAGGAACGATGATTGGCTTTCAAGAGATGAGCCGAGAGATTAATCAGCCACCACTAGGTGTTGAGTGTCCTGCTGACGTCAGAAGCTGCGACACCAAGTCCGTCAGAAGATACTTTGAAGGCGTCTGTCAGGCATGGGTCGTTCGGAGTGCTCTAGGTCGAACTACATGTATAATAATTATAAGTCTAAGTCAATCTTCAGTCCAAGTGCGTTGCATGCATACTGTGTTCAGAGTGGGTGGGCTGTGTGGACCATCGCTGTGGCAAAGTCCTGAAGCAGAGCGACTGTTTTGGGCTATCCCCTACTCCAATTCGGTCAAGTGCTGGTCTATTGTTACTACTCCAGTAGCTATTTTTGCTGTCCGGTGGCTAAAAATAGCAGCTCGCCGACTCTAAAGTTAGACGCCCGTGTCAACATGCCAGGGCTGTTCTTGGCGATCTGGAGGCAGTTCAGCGATAGCATACTGAGCGACAAGCACTTAGCCCTTATTTGTTACTGCAAGCTTCGTCAACGAGGTTAACCATCGTATTGCGCCTTGAGGCTACCAGGGCCAACAGCTACCATTGTCCACGCCAGGGCCTAGGACACATGAGATAGACTCGGTGCGTTGCAATTGAGAGCCAGTACATGGCTAAAGGTTACTTACAAACTGTTGGACCAGTTCTAGCCTCAAATGTCCATAGGTTTGGAATGTGAACCTGCGGCTACAGTCATTATCACTGCCTGTGCCCTAGGCCGTATCCACAATGCCTTGAACTCTTTAACCACACCTCATCAGAAGCGAATCCGACATTACTAGTGGTTAGAAATAAACCCGAAAAGCAGCTATAATGTATAACCTACAATGTACAATGCGGTAGCGAAATAAAATCTTGTACCACACATAAAAAATAAAAATAAAGTAAATAATTATCGTGTCCGTTCCCGAAGGGAACTCACGACGGCCGCTAACACCCGGTAAACCCTACACATACACACATACATGTCGTTACATGTACAAACATGCAGAAAAGCACAATACCACACAGTCATAATTATGCTCTCTCCGAGTCTCTCTCTCTCTCGCACACACACACACACACACACACACACACACACACACACACACACACACACACACACACACACACACACACACACACACACACACATACACGCACACACACACGCACACGCACGCACACACACACACACACACACACACACACACACACACACACACACAAACACACCAATACCCACCCACTCAATATCTCTCTCTCTCTCTCTCCCTCCCTTTCTCTTTCAAGTCCTGTGTACTTTTCAAAGATGCTCGTGCATGCACATAACAGTGTTGAGCATCTCTGTTGGTATCGTACTTCAGTATTAATCACGTGACTTTCACATATGTATATTTGCAGTTACCAATGCAATTCGAAGTCAGTTCAAAAACGCAATGGACAAAATACCTTTTGGCATAGAATAATGTAGCGACGGAACGTTTCCATTGCATTGCGTTGTGTGAGGGCCTTTCAACAAATCCAGCCAGTGTTCATTCCATGAAATGGTCGTGTCGTGTCGTTCCTGAACTGAGTAGAGTGTTCTTCTTGGAGCGCACGGGGGCTGTTGGATTTCTGAACTTTCTGAAGTGGAGTCAAA